GTGTTAACCTGCATTTGACAAATAAACAACATAACCTTGCAGGACTGACAAGCTAACTTCAAATTTGAACATGGTCCAAACCAAAGTGAATTGTCTTTGCCTTCAAACTGCTCCAGTCTTCCATAATTTATAGTGTTTGGCTCAAACACCATTTTGTAAATCTTTCCTCCATCGTCAGTTCTGCAATACGTAGATATTTGTATGGTGTTCAGCAGTTATTTGCAATGGCAAAGCAACCTATAGCTAATCTGGCCGGATGCACTTCCAAAGCAGATTTTGCCCTTACCAACAACTCTAATTTTCAAGGGCTTTAGCAGTTCATGCATACACTATTTTAGAAGTCTTTATACCACCTTCAGTTTGTGCAGCTTGGTTATTTTGGCAGAATTTTTTTTTTTTTTTTTTGATAATTCTGATTGGACCTGAAGCACTACAAGTAATTGCTGCTGTTGTTGATGATTGCGCTTCAAAATGACTTTTTTACAGTTACTAATGCACATGCACAAAGTCAGTATTTTGCAATGATTTGTGGTCTAAATAGTTTCATGTCTACTTCTGGTTCATTGAAATTCACTTATCTAAACAATGTTCATGTCTAGCTCGGTTTCAGTTGTGCTCTGCAGTCAATCAGACACCTAGCAGCAACATCGAACATCGAGCTTACATTGTAAAATACCAATAAACCTAATTTACAATAATAACATGTGCATATCAGAGAATAAGAACATTATGAAAATTTTCAATATTTTTTGTCAATCATTTCAGAAAGTGAAATTCATAGCTTAAACAAAAAAAAAAGAAAAAAGTCCATGCTCAATAATCCAGGTATAAAATCCAACAATTTTTAGTCAGGTCATCTGGACAGTTTCAGCAACAAAAAAAAAAAAAAAACTGTCCAGATGACCTGACTGAAAATTGTTGGAAACTCATAGATTCATCACATATAAATATTTCAAGCCTTTATTTCTTGCAATTTTGATGATTATGGCTTACAAATAAGGAAAAGTAAAACTCAGTGTCTCTGTCACGTTCCTGCCCCACCTGTCATGTTTCTTGTCATCGTGTTTTGTTTTCCCTGCTCCTGTCATCCTGTCATGCACCTTAGTCAGCATTCATGTCATTCACCTGTTCCCTGTCCTACTTAATCCCCAAACTCTCACTCCTTCCTTGCCACATTATCAAACTCTTCCTGATAGTCCAGCGCTCATGCCATAGTCTTGTTTGCATTCTTGTTTTGACCTCACGCCTGCCTTTTGGATTACCCACTTTGTCTGCTCCTTGTCTGCATTGTAGTGATGAGCAAATGAAGCTTTTATGAAGCATTGAACCAGTTGGGCCAATTGTTACAAAAATAAATTCATTTGTTGAAGCTTCATTTACAGTGACCTCTTGTGGCATTTTGCAATGCTGCTGTCAAATTAGGCGTTATGCTTTTGGTGGCACACACCGAAGAACGTCAATAACTAGTGTTAAAGAAACTACTTTACTGTGGTTAAAAAAACAGATTTTTTAAAATTCATCAACTTTCTATGTTGTCTGGTTTGAAAAATGTATTTATGCTTACATGTTTTTGAATAAAGATTGATAAGTGTGCATTGAAGAGATTTAATAAAAATGTTGCAATGGTATTGTGCTTGCGTAACTGGCAGAGTCCGAGTCCTAATCATTCTTAAAAATAACAATGAAATGACGTCTCCAGCATCTCCATGTTTGGAGCTGAAGTGTCTAATCATAGAGGAGGTATCATGATGCTTCAGTTGAACACACCAAACACTGCACCTGCAGAAATACACTAATGTAAATTTAAAAAATAATAATTTGAGCCAATACTGATATATGATTATTAAAATCACGTACATCATTTTACTGTAATTATATTAAATACATGGGTTAAATGGGTTAGATAATATCTTCACTGCTGAACATTAAAACAGTGCCTTGTGAAAGTATTCGGCCTCCTTGAACTTTTCAACCTTTTGCCACATTTCAGGCTTCAAACATAAAGATATAAAATTTTAATTTTTTGTGAAGAATCAACAACAAGTGGGACACAATCGTGAAGTGGAATGAAATTTATTGGATGTGTCAAACTTTTTTAACAAATAAAAAACTGAAAAGTGGGGCGTGCAATATTATTCGGCCCCTTGCGTTAATACTTTGTAGCGCCGCCTTTTGCTGCAGTTCCAGCTGCAAGTCTCTTGGGGTATGTCTCTATCAGTTTTGCACATGGAGAGACTGAAATTCTTGCCCATTCTTCCTGCAAAACAGCTCGAGCTCAGTGAGGTTGGATGGAGAGCGTTTGTGAACAGCAGTCTTCAGCTCTTTCCACAGATTCTCGATTGGATTCAGGTCTGGACTTTGACTTGTCCATTCCAACACCTGGATACGTTTATTTGTGAACGATTCCATTGTAGATTTGTCTTTATGTTTTGGATCATTGTCTTGTTGGAATATAAGTCTCCGTCCCAGTCTCAGGTCTCTTGCAGACTCAAACAGGTTTTCTTCCAGAATGGTCCTGTATTTGGCCCCATCCATCTTCCCATCAATTCTGACCATCTTCCCTGTCCCTGCTGATGAAAAGCAGGCCCAAACCATGATGTTGCCACCACCATGTTTGACAGTGGGGATGGTGTGTTCAGGGTGATGAGCTGTGTTGCTTTTACTCCAAACATATCGTTTTGCATTGTGGCCAAACAGTTGGATTTTGGTTTCATGTGACCAGAGCACCTTCTTCCACATGTTCGGTGTGTCTCCCAGGTGCTTGTGGGAAACTTTAAACAACACATTTTATGGATATCTTTGAGAAATGGCTTTCTTCTTGCCACTCTTCCATAAAGGCCAGATTTGTGCAGTGTACGACTGATTGCTGTCCTATGGACAGACTCTCCCACCTCAGCTGTAGATCTCTGCAGTTCATCCAGAGTGATCATGGGCCTCTTGGCTGCATCTCTGATCAGTCTTCTCCTTGTTCCAGATGAAAGTTTAGAGGGACGGCCGGGTCTTGGTAGATTTGCAGTGGTCTGATACTCCTTCCATTTCAATATGATTGTTTGCACAGTGCTCCTTGGGATGTTTAAAGCGTGGGAAATCTTTTTGTATCCAAATCCGGCTTTAAACTTCTCCACAACAGTATCTCAGACCTGCCTGGTGTATTCCTTGGTCTTCATGATGCTCTCTGCGCTTTGAACAGAATCCTGAGACTATCACAGAGCAGGTGCATTTATACGGAGACTTGATTACACACAGGTGGATTCTATTTATCATCATCAGTCATTTGGGACAACATTGGATCATTCATAGATCCTCACTGAACTTCTGGAGTGAGTTTGCTGCACTGAAAGTAAAGGGGCCCAATAATATTGCACGCCCCACTTTTCAGTTTTTTATTTGTTAAAAAAGTTGAACCGTCCAATAAATTTCATTCCACTTCACGATTGTGTCCCACTTGTTGTTGATTCTTCAAAAAAATTAACATTTTATATCTTTATGTTTGAAGCCTGAAATGTGGCAAAAGGTTGAAAAGTTCAAGGGGGCTGAATACTTTTGCAAGGCACTGTATAACTTTTTTGACATTTAAAAGCCAAAACCACCTTATCATGAGCAGAATGAAGTGTTCCCACGTGTTAGAACAACCTCTTTTCCTGGCTGGCTCTATAATTACTCAATTTCAACTAACAGCAAAAACACACCTACTCTCTAACAACACGTTACAAACTTTTTAGAGCTGTTTTATAGTGTTGAGCGCTCTCAATTCAAAACGGTCTCAACCTGTCACCTGTCAAAATCGAGACGAGTCAGTGCCAGGGAATCAGCTGATTGGACCGCGAACCAGTCAAGCGATTCATTTCGACAACAAAACAGTTTGTGTTTCGAACGTCACGTGTCACGTGACTTTTTCCGCACCAAAGCAAGCTCCGATGTAATTTAACTGCAGGGTTCGAAGCATGTTTTGAAACTTTTGTTTCATACTACCATCACTACTGCATTGGATTAACCTCTCTGACCATGGTATCAACTCTCCTTACTTCTATGACTTCGTCTCGCAGATTTCGTTTTGTCTTTGGATTTGGATCTCTGACCTCCTGTGCTCGACCCCTGCTTGAACTCCTTTTTGGATGCCCCTTCAAACAACGTTCTGCTCAGCCCTGCTTGTCTGCTGCTGTTCACTCACCGTCAGTGATGTCACCATCTCCAACTCCCTGAAGGATCCCCTCCCTTATCTGACTGTGAAGGTTAGTGACTTCCTCTGAACATTCACCGTAAAACCCAGATCATTAATTCCTGTCTCCACAGATTGGACCAGTCCTTGGATCCTGACCTCCACCAGCAGCTGTCTATCAATAAAACTTTCGAACCATTCCTGTTTGCCATTGTGCTCGAATCCTAAAACACACTCTTGTCAGTCTCAGAAAATTAGAATTTTGTGACAAGGTTCAATATTGGAAACTCGAGCTGTCACTCAGTTATTTGATGCATTTAATTAGGAGAAACTGATTTCTTTATTCAAATGGGAGAAGTAAAGGTAGATTCAGTTTTTCCCACACTCCTTTTGTATTTTGCTTGTATACAACCAGTAAAGATACAAAACTTTCTCATGTCCTACTGCATGCTTATGCAAATCACATGGTAAATTGAATCGTACGGATCTCTAATAAACAATACAGTTCGTTTAAACTATTTTAGGATTAGTTCACAATGTTAAGCGTGGAAAGTCCCCTCCACCTGCAGCATATTTGACTAACAGACAGAATAAACAGACAATTTCTGTCAGGTGCCTGACCAGAGGTAGAACAAACTATTTATCATCCCACTTTTTCAAAGATATATTTACAGTAGCAATAAAATATATTTATACGTCTGACTCTGACCATCAAGATATTTTATCCTGATTAAGTGCCAATACTGTTTGCAAAGATGTGCAAGAGTATTTTACAGTTTATTATTTAAAGTCCCAGGTTTATGGTTTACAATCCTTCTAAATGAACATGGTGCTCCTGGTGTCAGAGGGGATAGTGGGTACTGATGTGGGCTTGACACTGGGGGCATCGATGGTGGGTGTTCCTGAGGCGCTTCATGTAGAATGGGATCAAACAGCAGCCTGCCACACAGCTGGAGTAAAACACAGGAAAAAGATGAGAAGGGGGAAACAGAAGGTTAATTAAAGTTCTGTTGAGAACTCTGAATTATCAAAATCATAGCTTCATCCAAACCACCCACATGTCTGCTAGACCCCATCTCAGACTATTTAACAAGGTATTTTGCCAAATTAAAATCCATATTTTGGGTCTGCTTAACTTGTCTCTAATGAATGATTACGTACCACAGCGCTTTGAGGTTGCTGTAATTAAACCTTTACTTAAGAAATCGGATCTTGTTTCAGGAATTCTGCCCAAATATAGTCCTATATTTCATCCAAAAAATTCTAGAGAAAATAGTTGCAAATAAATTGTGTGAACATCTGAACAGAAATAATCTGAGGAGTTTCAGTCAGGGTTTAGTTTAGAGCTCATCGTAGCACAGAAACAGCACTGGTGAAAGTTACTAATGATATTCTCATGGCCTCAGACAATGGACTTGTGTCTATACTGGTCCCGTTAGACCTCAGTGCTGCATTTGATTCAGTTGATCACAATATTTTACTACAGAGGCTTGAATATGATGTTGGGATTACAGGAATGGCTTGAAAATGGTTTAAATCATATTTGTCTGATAGATTCTAGTTTGTAAATGTAAATAATAAATCTTCTTCATACACCAAAGTTAGTCATGGAGTTCCTCAGGGTTCAGTGCTTGGAGCAGTACTCTTTATACTGTATATGCTTCCATTATGTAAAAAAACAAAATTAATTAAACAGCATGGGATAAATTTTCATTGTTATGATGATGATACTCAGTTAAATGTATTCATGAAACCCTATGAATCCAATCATTTAGATTACAATCATGTCTTATAAACAAAAACCTGGATGACCCTTAATTTTCTGCTTTTAAATTCTGACAAAACAGAGGTTGTGGTTTTTGGACCTGAGTATCTTGGGAATTAACTTTGTAGTCTTTCACTTCCTCTAGATGACTTTAATTTGGACTCCAGTTATAATGTAAAATAACCTTAGTGTTATTTTTGATCATTTATGTATTTTTTTAGCTCCCACATTAAACAAGTTACCAGGACTGCTTTCCCCCACCTGCGTAATATCACTAAAATTAGAAATGTCTTGACCAAATATGATGAAGAAAAACTGGTTCATGCATTTATCACGTCTAGGCTGGACTATTGCAATGGTTTGTTATCTGGGTGTCTACAATCTTCTTTAAAAAGTCTTCAGTTGATCCAAAATGCTGCTGTCATAGTTTTAATGAAAGTTGATAGGAGAGATCATATTTCTCCAGTTTTAGCTTCTCTCCATTGGCTCCCTGTCAAATTCAGAAGATAATTCAAAATCTTACTGTTGTCACACAAAGCTCTCAACAACCTAGCTCCATCTTATATTACAAATTGTATTGTTCTATACTTTGCTGACAGAGCCCTTCACTTTATGAGTGCAGGTTTGCTTATGGTTCCTCGAGTTTCCAATAACAGAATGGGAGGAAGATCTTTCAGTTCTCAGGCTCCTCTCTTGTGGAACCAACTTCCAGTTTCTGTCCGTGAGGCTGACACATTGTCCAGTTTTAAGACTGGGCTTAAGACTTTCCTTTCTGATAAATTCTACAGTTAGTGTCTGTTTGGGTTTCCTGAGCTATCCCTTAGTTATGCTGCTATAGGCTTAGACTTGCTGGAGGACAAATTGACCCTACTTCCTCACTCTGCTGGTGTCTTTACTTGCTCTACTCTTCCAGTTTGTATTTTATCCTTAACATGTTTTTTTTTATTATTATTATTTGTTTCTCTTCCAATAGAAAGTACATCTGGACCCATCATTCTATGTTTGTTTCTCCTTCCTGTCCTCTCAAACCCCAGCCGGTCAAAGCAGATGAACACTTTTCCTGAGCCTGGTTCTGCCAGAGAAGGGCAGGGCAGTAACTGTGGCCCCGTGTGCACTGAACTGCTCAGGGGGCCACAGTTACTGAAAGCCAACAGCTATGGGCCGAATATCAACCAATTAAAGTCATTATGTAAATAAACCAAGTATTACAATGATCAGTTCTATGAAATTAATTTATTTTACTGCTTTGAATGATAAATGCAGTAAACAGAAACCAAAAGTGTAATTTAAAGAAATTAAATTTCAAGATTTATTTCCTTGCAATGAAAGTGTGAAACAATATTAAAAACAAAAATGACACACTATGCCTCCTATTTAACACAAATTTTATTGTGTCTTCTCTGACTTGCCAAATCTGTACACAGTTCAAATAAAAGTTGTTGACCTTTTTAATGTTCCCTGAATGACCAGTTTGTTGCTGTTCCAGGTGGGTCCGTTAAGAACCAGTTCTCATTTACAATAAAATGGCTGAACAGACCAGTTCTTCCTCAAGCGGTTCACAGGTGAAGCGTCCACGTCCTGCTCAGGTGTGAGCTTTGAGCAAAACCATAAGAGGCGGAGCAGAACTCAGCTGGGTTGAAAGTGAGCGTGATGCATGTCGAACTTCTCCTTCATTTCATTAACTGCAATGATTTAACTCACTTAACCCATCCTATTTGTGGTTAACCATTTTTTAAACTAACTACAAAGCTGCTGTGCATCATCATCAATATTCCCCCAGTAATAAACATTTGTTGATGTTTAATATGGCTCGGCTGGATAGCCTTGGGGAAATTATCCAGTACTGCATGTGCAAAGTTTCTGACTATCATATTTCTGAGTGTGGAAATATGTTGTTCTTGTTAATGTACTGTTCAGAGTTGTTTTGGCATTTATGTTAAAGTCTTTATTATATGCTGCAAAGTGACACCATGAGTCAGAGGTTGTTCCAGGTACGCATAAGTGGGAAAGCTATGTGTATTTATATTAATATTTTTATGTATATTGTTAGTCTAAATACCCATCACGGTGGTGCAGTTGGTAGAGCTGTTGCCTCTCAGCGAGAAGGCAGCCGGATCAAATCCCGGTCTGGGGGCCTTTCTTAGTGGAGTTTGCGTGTTCTTTCCATGCTGCGTGGATTTTCTCCGGTACTCCGGTTTCCTCCCACAGACCAAAAACATGCACGTTAGTCTGATTGGTAACTCTAACTTGTCCCTAGGTGTGAGTGAGAGAGTGAATGGTTGTTTGTCTCGTTTGTCTCTATGTGTCCCTGTGATGGACTGGAGACCTGTCCAGGGTGTCCCCTGCCTCTCGCACAGTGATGGTTGGATATGGGCACCAGTGACCCCTGCGACCCGAAATGAAAGAAGTGGGTAAAGATGATGGATGGATGGATGGATGGAGGGAGGGAGGGAGGGACTTGCACAAATTGCTCAATTCAGTCAGAGTTATTGTCTTTGGTCATTCAAACAACTATGTACAACAGGTAAGATATTAATTGTTCATTAACTTACACAGAATTGAAACGAACTGAACTATCATTTATCAGCAACATGTTGGTCACGCAGTCAACAGATTGGTATAGACACACACAGGTGACCTCCTGAAGCAGAGCCACCTAGTTACAAATATTTCATGAAATAGTTTTATTCACACCAGGTTTATAAAAACATTCTGCTGCAGCAACAACTCACCCCATGACAGAGCAGAAGAAGCACATTATCCACATTGCCGCGCCCCTTGTATTGTGGGTTTCCGTGGTAACGACCTCTGCACAGGATGGACATTTTGTGACCGCTGCTGTGGGGCCCAGAATCTCCACTTCCCCAAGAAAACGAGACATAAGAATCAGAAGGTGCATGACATTTAAAGAACACCGAGCACTGCCAACACCACGTTCACAGGGGTGTAGCAAACCTGGAACCATGCGGTCCGAGTGCGTTTGTTCTGCAGCTGGAACGTCCTGGCTCGGCAGCGGAGGAGGCAACATGTAGATACCACCACGGGGGGTCTGTTTGTAAGAGCTGCACTGCTCTTGGTAACCTGCTTTTTCAAACACAAATTATTCCAGCGTTCTCTTCAGGGATTAAAAGAACATACTAGTACTTTGTAGAACATTGGGCAATGAGAAAAGACAACATGCCTCCATTTGTGCATTCTTTGTGTTTTGTGTTGTTCTCCAACTCCTCCTTTTTAACCTGCAGCTCCTCGATCTCCTTCTGAATGGACTTCAGCTCGTTCATTTCATCACTGATCTCCCCTGGGACAGACAACACAACGCCCAGTCAGAGAATAAACAAAGTATTTCATTACCTAAGTAGAAAATGTGAACATTTTGAGCTAAACCATGCTGTGTGTTGGTCAAAGTGAAGTTAAAGTTATATATGAATGTGTCATCACTGGGTGCAGGTTAATTTGTACTTTCATGGATTCGTACCCCCACCTTGTTGTGTTTTGTACACAGTAGGTGCTATTTTGTAACCAAATGCTTATCATTGTGTGCCTGTGTCATTCTGAGCCCATATGTAAGGTAGTTTTGTATAAAGCCAGGGGTTGAGGTTAGAGATAAATGTCAGGGCTAGGTGCCAGAAGTTAGTTTATTTTTGGGGGGATTGTATTTTGGTGATCTGACTCCAGACACTGCTCATGAGATCAACAGAAGGCACACACGAGTCAAAATAAGGTGAGAACTGGAAAATGGCTGCACAGACCAGTCTGTCTTTATGCTCCCTCTGGTCGTTAGTAAACTGCAAAGCGAAACCAAAAAAGGCTTGGATGAGAATTCAGCTGACGTGAAGCACAACACATTAAATCTGTGACGGACGTCTCCCTCAAATGGTTTTTGAATCGTGACAAATTAACTCAGTTCAGCGATCCCCTTTGTGGTTAACGTTTTATTTTTAATTTTTATAAATACAAAGTTGCTGTGATTAATCAGCATTATTCCCTTGGTAATAACACTGATTGTTGTTGTTGTTTATTCACTGGATGGTCACACAGACCAGACGTCATCACTTGATTAATGAGCCACAAAACCAGCTTACATTTTCTACATGGCGGCCATTCGCCTCTGTTACCACATCGTTCCTCCGCACAGAGGTGGCATCAACCACCCTCACTGTCTCTGTCCGTTCAGAAGTCCCACTGAGGCGGCCAAAAGGCGTCTCCTGGACTGAGCTGTCCTCTGAAAGATCTTTTTGTTGCAGTTGGTGCACAGATGAATCAAGTACCTGACTGCATGTGATTTAAGATGCTCATTGTTTGGTGCAAGAACTATGGAGTGCCATTTGTAAAGTTACACAGTCAAAAAGTAACAGCAATATTTTGGTTTATTTAGCCTTTCATAAGAAAAAAAATAGTTGTTTTTTTTCAAAATCGTATTTTCCACCATGTTATTAATACATTTATAAATGTCATACAAACTGGATTCCAAAAAAGTTGGAACACTAAACAAATTGTGAATAAAAACTGAATGCAATGATGTGGAGGTGCCAATATCTAATATTTTATTCAGAATAGAACACAAATCACAGATCAAAAGTTTAAACTGAGAGAATGTATCATTTTAAGGGAAAAATCTGTTGTTTCCAAATTTCATGGCGTCAACAAATCCCCAAAAAGTTGGGACCAGTCCATTTTTACCACTGTGTGGCATCCCCCCTTCTTCTTACAACACTCAACAGACGTCTGGGGACAGAGGAGACCAGTTTCTCAAGTTTAGAAATAGGAATGCTCTCCCATTCATGTCTAATACAGGCCTCTAACTGTTCAATCGTCTTGGGCCTTCTTTGTTGCACCTTCCTCTTTATGATGCGCCAAATGTTCTCTGTAGGTGAAAGATCTGGACTGCAGGCTGGCCATTTCAGTACCCGGATCCTTCTCCTACGTAGCCATGATGTTGTGATTGCTGCAGAATGTGATCTGGCATTATCGTGTTGAAAAATGCAGGGTCTTCCCTGAAAGAGATGACGTCTAGATGGGAGCATATGTTGTTCTAGAACCTGAACATAGTTCTCTGCATTAATGGTGCCTTTCCAGACATGCAAGCTGCCCATGCCACAAGCGCTCATGCAACCCCATACCATCAGTGATGCAGGCTTATGAACGGAGCATTGATAACAATTTAGGCTATCCTTGTCCTCTCTGGTCCGGATGACATGGCGTCCCAGTGTTCCATAAAGAACTTCAAATCGTGACTCATCTGACCACAGAACAGTCTTCCATTTTGCCACACTCCATTTTAAATGACCCCTGGCCCAGTGCAAACGTCTGAGCTTGTGGAGCTTGCTTAGAAATGGCTTCCTCTTTGCACTGTAGAGTTTCAGCTGGCAACGGTGGATTGTGTTCACTGACAATGCTTTCTGGAAGTATTCCTGAGCCCATTCTGTTATTTCCTTGACAGTGGCATTCCTGTTTGAGGTGCAGTGACGTTTAAGGACCCGGAGATCACGAGCATCCAGTAGAGTTTTACGCCCTTGACCCTTACGCACAGAGATTGTTCCAGATTCTCTGAATCTTTTGATGATGTTATGCACGGTTGATGATGATAACTTAAAAGTCTTTGCTATTTTATTCTGGGTAACACCATTCTGGTATTGCTGCACTATCTTTCTGCGCAACAATGGTGGAATTGGTGATCCTCTTACCATCTTGGCTTCTGAGAGACACTGACACTCTGAGAAGCTCTTTTTATACCCAATCATGTTGTCAATTGACCTAATTAGTGTTAATTGGTCTTCCAGCTGTTCATTATATGCTCAATTTCCTTTTTCCAGCCACTTAATTTAGCCATTTCATATAATTTTCACATAATGTCCAGCCATTTAATTTCCCTCTGGGATCAATAAAGTATATTTGAATTGAATTGAATTGAATTATTGCTACTTGTCCCAACTTTTTTGGGATTTGTTGACACTGTGATATTTTGAATCAACATATTTTTCCTTTAAAATGTTACATTTACTCATATTAAACTTTTGATCTGTCATCTATGTTATATAGGCAGCACGGTGGCGCAACTGGTAGAGCTGCTAACTCTCAGCGAGAAGGTCCCTGGTTCAAACCCCGGTCCAGGGGCCTTTCTGGGTAGAGTTTTCATGTTATCTCCGTGCATGCGTGGGTTTTCTCCGGGTGCTCCGGTTTCCTCCCACAGACCAAAAACATGCATGTTAGGGTGATTGGTAACTCTAAATTGTCCCTAGGTGTGAGTGAGAGAGTGAATGGTTGTTTGTCTCGTTTGTCTCTATGTGGCCCTGTGATGGACTTGCGACCCGTCCAGGGTGTACCCCGCCCCTCGCACAGTGATTGCTGGACATGGGCACCAGTGACCCCTGTGACCCAAAATGGAATAAACAGGTAAAGATAATGGATGGATGGATGGAAGTTAAATATTTAGTTAGCAAGCTAAATATTTAGCTCCATACTAAATATTTAGTTTACAAACTAAATGTTTATGTCCAAGCTGAATGTTTAATTTACAAAATAAATATTTATCTTGAAAGTTAAATATTTAGTTAGTGAACTAAATATTTAGTTGTAAATTAAATATTTAATTTCCAAGCTAAGCATTTAATTTATCAACTAAACATTTAATTTCTAAACTAAACATTTAATTTCTAAACTAAACATTTAATTTCTAAGCTAAACATTTAATTCCTAAACTAAATATTCAATTTGCTAACTAATATTTAGCTTGGACCTAAATATTTAACTTGCAAGTTAAATATTTAGTTTGTATACTAAACATTTAGCATGGACATAAACATTTAATTTGTAAACTTAATATTAAGCATGGAGCTAAATATTCAGTTTACAAACTAAATATTTAACTTGCACATTAAGTATTTAGTTTGTATACTAAATATTTAGCTTGGAAATTAAATATTTAGTTTGGAACTATGACATTCATAAATGTCATTTGGTGAAATTTTGACTTTGAAAAAAAATTTTTTTTTTCTTATGAAAGGCTAAAACATATTCCTGTTAATTTTTGGCTGTGTAACTTTACAAACAGCACCCCATAAAGATCATCATACATCAATCAGGAAAAACAACTTTGCCACATTCTTTTAACCAGAACATATTCTTTAACATCTGCATGAAAATGTTACTAAGACAACCTTTTTCCACCGGCACGGTCTAATTCAAATTTAACTTTAACACCTTTATATACACTTTTGCCCACCGCCTCGTGCTGGTTGATGTGAAGATTCAACACAATCTGTTGCGTTCCTTAGACAAACTAACTGGTTTGCTAAATGTCATTCTATGGCAGACTGAGTCTGATTGGACTGCGTTTGGATTAGTTTTAAACTTAACTGGACTAAATGTAATTTGGTCTTGTTTGTAAAGGGAACTGGTGTTTTATAAATCACCTGTACTAACTGAAGTCTGTTGTATTGAGCTGATAGTTGAGCAAGAAATCCACATTATTCTGGAAGGCCTGACCAGTATCCATGTCCAACCAACAAAAGACTTAAGACCAAACTGATTAGGATCCATCCGTTTTTCTCACCTTACCAACATTTATTATCTCACTGGTCATTTTCTCATGCAACATTTCGACTGATGGAAGATGTTGGAGCAGGATGTCGAGGCTGTTTTCTGCTCAGGAGACGATTAAGAAACTGACAAACTCCGCAGAAGGATGGCAAGTATAGAAAATGAGTGAAAAACATAAAAACAACAGAGTCACACCCATGAAGCATTGTTTATCCACTACCCAAATCAAAGGAGTGACTCACCCCTCTGTGTAACGTCTCCACCGTTTTGTTCCTCCTTCTTTGTGCACCGTTGGATCTCCTGCAGAAGGAGGCGCCTGTTGTTCAGCTGTTGCATTCGGAACTCGATCTTGGTCAAAGTTAGAGGCCCTCTCGGCTCGGTCGTCTCCATTTCCAGATCTTCTTGTTCATACTCAGAACTCCCACCTTTGTTCAGACTCGTACTTGCAATTGACCTGAAAGGGTGAAGGGACACCCGGTCCTGGTCTGG